TTCCATGCTCAATTTAGATTTTGAGAAAGCTATGATGGGGTGGAGTGGAGCTACTTAGACAGATGATGGAGACGAAAAGTTTTGGGGTTAGATGCCAAAGATGGTTTAGTGGGTGTCTATGTTCGATATCATTTGTGGTCATTGTCAATGGGAAACCTCACGAATGGTTTCAGGCAGTTAGGGGTCTGAGGCAAGGGCAACCGTTATCTCCCTTCCTTTTCACCATGGTGGACGTGCTGAGCAGAGTACTGACCAGACCCGTAGAAAGGGATAGAATGAGAGGGCTGATAGTAAGTGTAGAAAGGATAGAGGTTTCCCATTTACAATTTGTGGATGATACTGTAGGATTCCTACAAGATGACGATAGATCCATTAGAAATACATTCACTATTCTCTAAGTGTTTGAGCATCTGGACTGAAGATCGACTTGGAAAGAAGTGACTTAGCAGGGGTTGGATGTGGAGGGAGAGGTACTAAATAACCTTGTGAGATCCATAAGATGTGCTAGGTTTGATTGACCCATCACTTTCTGGGGGTTCTTTTGGGGGAAAACCCTAACAAGCGGGCTTTTTTGGAGATGGTACAACTGAAAGTGAGTAAATGTTTGAGAGGTAGAAAGGGCTCTTTTCATTAGGGGGTAGGGTACCCCTGACCAGACTTTTCTTTCAAGTATTCCCTTATAATTTTTATCTATCTTTAGGATTTTGGTAGGGATAGTAGAAAGAATAGAGAGTCATGTGAGGATATTTTTGTGGATAGGCATGGGGGAGGATGAGAGGGATCAGTTGGTGAATTGGAATATGTGCTGCCTACCTAGGGGCTATGGTGGTTTAGGCTAGATCCAAGAATTTATCATTATTGGCTAATTGGCACTTTTCTCAGAAACCGAACTCTTTGTAGCATAAGGTGATTGGAAGTATTATGGCATAGAAGGTAATAAATTGGATGCAATTACAAGTATAACCACTTCTCACTGTAGTCTTTTTCAAGCCTATCCCTTTTATGGCCATCTTGCTCATATTCGACTAGAAGAGGTTGTAGAGTCAAATTCTGGGAGGATACTTGGGTGGGAGACCAACATTTTGCCACTAAACATTCACATTCTTCAAACTTTATAACTTGTCCACAAGACACACACATCCCTGTTTCACATACTGCAGGCACAAAGGGAACTATAACTTGGAATACCTTAGGTGACGACTTGGAATACCTTAGCCGTCACCTTTCTGACAAGGAGGACGCTGAAATGCTTCCTCTCTTGAACATTTTTGGAAACTATTTGATTCACTACCCATCCTGACACTAGAACTTGGACCTTGGAACCCTCAAGCAGATACACCTGTAAATCCTTTTCGAACATCTGATTTTAAGATCAGCCTATACTCCACTTTGCAATGCCAAATTGTTCTAGAAATCTCCTGTTCCTTTGAAGGTTAAAGTTTTTTTATGAACTGCTATCCATCGGAACCTTAACAAAAATGACATAATCGAAGTCTGTCAACCTCATAGAACCTTGTCTCTAGACATTTATGTGATGTGCTTTGCAGGGGTAAGACGAACCTGCACTAATTCCTACATTGTGCACATCTTGGAGGTTTTGGACGAAATTGATGAAGCTATTTGGCATATATATGGTGGCCCCTCCCATGGTGGAGATCCTCTTGAGTTGTCAAGTTGAGGGGAAGGGCAGGCTTTGGAGGCTTAAAACCCTATGGAGAGAGGCTCTATTTGCAGGACTATGGTGTATCTGGCTCGCAAGGAATTGCAAGATATTTAATGACTGGATTACATCCTTCTATGAGCTGTGGGAAAGGGCGGCTGTTTTGGCAACAGTATGGGTTAAGGCACATGGCTACTACCCTTTCATAGGCATTACTGAGCTCCATTGTATCTGACTAGAGAATGATTGTTTGCTTCTCTTTTTTATTCTTCTGCTTTCCTTAAGCTTTAAGCAGAGGATGTCTCATGCTTCTTGTTGTTAATATTCCTTCCTTTTTTCCATCTTTAATAATATATATTTTTTTTTATGTTATACACTTAAGAAGTAAGGAATTTATCTTATCTCATACTCTTTACAGGTTATAATGGGTCGTGGCTGCTTTGACGACACCAAGGTTTTATTTGACATTTCTTATTCTATACATAGAATTTGTGTGCTGATTTCTCTTATTGAAAATACCAATTTGATTAAAATTTTAGGGCGCTGTGCTTGTTAAAAACTTAGCAGCCAAGAAGCCTTCAGCACTTGGTTTGGACACTTACTATAAGCAATATTATCTCTGCTTAGCCGCTGCTGCAGCTACGATCAAGTGGTATTTTCAGAACATTAGCTTTTTATACAGTTTTGATAGTGAGAGAGCATTTTAGACTTCCAAAATGAGAACCCTCCACATGCATGGAGGATTGTGTTTACTTTTGATTGACATCCAAGTCAATAGTTCCGGAAAATGTCAGGAAGAAACTGCACTTGATACTAGGAGTTTATAAATAAAATTAGTAATTAAATTCTGAGGAAAAAGTTAATTAACAATGTCAATATTTATTGTACTAAAAGGAAGCAATTTTATTTGCATATAAAGACATGTATTTTCTATGGCCTTTGTGGTTCTACATATCCTTGTGACTGGTACTAGCAACTGCTGGGGATTGACTAGTCTGTTTGGAGCCATGGCCTCTTCGAGTATAATTACCCAGCCCTTAGTTATGCCAAGTTATCTCTGTGTTGCATTTCCTGTTTGGCTTATTAATGAGAAAGTGAGAAGACGCTGCTCAGTTGTTTTTTTTTTTTTTTGGATTATTTAGTTTTTTTTGTCTCTTGTTGCATTATGAATGCAAATAATGAGCTCTCGAGTGACTATATTATGTGCAGACTAGTGTCTCCCACCCCACATTAGCGGAGTAGTGAAACTATTCTTAAAGTATGCAAATGATGAACAATGGTCATATGGCATCTTCTTTTTCTGTGAGAGGAAGAGTCCTGTAATATCTAGTAGAACTAACTGAAGAAATGCATTAAACTAAAATTTTGAAGAAGTCAAGGTCGAAGTTCAAATAATTCTGATTTTAAAAATATAAAACAGTAATGTCATGCCACTCCTATAACTTGATACTGGATACAATTATAGGGTCGAGTACAAGACAAACAAGAAGATAACTTTTTACCTTGGACGTTAGATTGAGATACACATGCTTGCAATAAGATATTGGAAATAAAATTTTCATTGTAAGTTAAAATAACACTATGTTATCAAAAACGATTGCACCTAAAAATGAAAGACCTAAAACTGCAGCAAAGCACTAGAAATAGATAACAGAAACCAGAAAGACCTAGAATTGCTAAGCAAATCACACCAAAACAGAATTTCTCTGCTGTATCATATAGAAGAGGTAGCTCGTTAACCAATGATCATCACAAAAGCACATCAACTGTGAAACAGATGGACACATCTTGTAGGAAAGAAAGAGCTAGTCAGGCCAACTCAACCATGTGAAGTGTCGAGTACAGATAGCACAAGTCTCAAGCACCAGTGAGTGACACACATGGGATTGCTGTAGTGAAGAAAGGATCCCTATAGATGTAAAGTTGTTTTCTTTCTCCTAGAGTTTTAGAGAAAATGATTTTTGGAACAAGTTTTTGCCTTTTTTCTTTGTAAACTAATGTTGCTCTGTTGTAATGATACCATGTTCAAGAAAATATGTAACTTTACCATATGGTAAAAAAGTACATGGGTACTTATTGGGATTCATATCCTAAGAAAAAGAAAACTATAAAATAGCAAGCTAACTATATAGGGAAGTCTTAGGTACATACTATATAGTAAACTATACTATATATTATAACAATATCATCTTACATAAAGGATTAATATGTAACTTTCTTCATCTAAATCATTCCACAGGATAGAAGCAGAGAAAGGCGTCATTGTCACAAACCACTCATTGTCGGTATGTATTTTATGGTGCATCTTTGTTCCTTACCTATTAGGAGGATAAATAACAGCAGCTGTTCTATCACTATTCATTATATAATATTTCGAACAACTAAATATAAGATGTTAGTCTTTGGACTGCATCCTGGCAGATATTGTGGTAATTTCCCCCTTTTCCAATTTACTGCACCCTACCTTCCCATATCTTCATATCATTTGTTTATACTTATTTTCGTGCCAAGCCCCAAAACCAAACTGCCATGGATTCATTAAATTACTTTTTTCATTTTTGCCCATTTAGTATGGAATATTGTGTTTGACAAGGAGCAATAATTTAACCATATATACTTTCTGCTAGGTTTGTCCTGCTTGTGAAAGTGACAGCCCAGCATTGACATATCCTGTGTTAGAATAATATATTGACAGATAGAAGATTTGTCAAATATTAGCTTTACTATATCCCATTTTCTTATCAATGTACTTCTCTTTTTCATCTCACTGTTTTATTTGACATATTTTTTTAATAAGTAATCCAAATATCAGTATGACCTCCAGCATTACAGTTGTTTGATAGAATACAGAATTCACTACGCTCTCATGAAAAAATGTTATACCACAAGAAAAGAATTATCTTCCCTGAGAAAAATGAAAGGAATTTGATTATTTTTCTCTTTACAGTTCAGCTTCATTTTGTTTGAAAGAACTCTAATTTTCTTTCTTGCCGGTTTCTCAATTTCTCAGGTTACTTTGAATGGATCATTTGATCACATGAACATTGATGCTACTAGGTAGTTTTTCTCTCTGTGTTGTGATCGGTCTACAAGTAAAAAAATTTTACTGGTATAGGTGATTCCTTTCTGTTTCCCTTGGTACTAAAATTTACATTTTAAATATACTGTTAGTGTCCAGAATTTAGAAATAATTGAACCACTTCATTCTACTATTTGGGGCACAAGCAGCAAAAAGAGAAGTTTGTTTCACATGCTCAGGACAACAAAAACTGTTGGCGGGTATGTAATAAAGTGAAAGCTGGCAGGGACTACGTGTCATCTTGCTAACTGATTCATAACTTTAAATTATTACCTTTCAGCTCTTTTTTTTTTCTTTAGCTATGATCTACTGCATCATGTCACTTTTGTTTTCTTACTGGGGTTGTAGGTAGAGGAGTTGGGTTAGAAATATTGATTATGGTGGGCTTATGAATTAAATAAAACTCCTGCATCCATTAAATTTTTGAACTTCCTGTTCAATATGGAGTATCGTATTTATTTCAATTCATAGTACTTATTGATGTACATTCTATGTCATTTCCTCTCCAGGAGTAGACTTCTTCGCGCCAATCTACTACAACCTTTAAGAGATATTGAGACTATCAACACTCGTCTGGATTCCTTGGTGAGATTTTCCTTGTATTTTTGAATCTTTTAACTATTCTGAATTATGATTTTTCTAGAAGGTGCTGTCTATGTCAAGAGCTTTTGTCATTTAGCTCCTACATAGGTGAGAGTGGGTGAATTTGGTAGATAGAGGAAATAGTTGAGTAGAGAGAGGAAGAGAGAGAGAAAATAAGAGGGTTAGGCTGGCGAGAGAATTTGAATTGTTTGAATTTGAATTTCAAGTTATGTCAAAATTGTCCTTACAACCTGTTATTTTATACCTAGTATGAGAAACTAACTAACAAGGACGATCCTCTAAACAAAATCAGCCCCTCGCCAAAAGGCCTGATTAGAACTAATATCAAGTGGGACCCATTATGACCTCCTCAGTCTCTTGCCCTACGCCTTGAACATACTTTCAAGTTCCTTGCTCGGTTAGCAACTTTGTCATCAAGGTTGAGGTTGGAAAATTGCTGGAGTAGGAATTCAGAATGCTCCCAAGTGCAATCATCTATGTTTGTTCCTGGCCAATGCACAGGCACTTGTTGTACCTCCTTCCCATCACGATAGACTCTTTGGTATATTAAATCCTTCTTTAGCCATACTGCTATTGTCCCGTCTGAGTCACAATCAAGCAGGTCATCAAAGTGAATTTTTCTTCTTGTGTTACGTTTCTTAATTGTGAGACATGAAATGCAAGATGGATGAGAGAAGTTGGTGGTAATTTGAGCTTGTACTCCACTCTCCGGTCCTCTGTATAACTTCAAAAGCTCCATATAAGCTAAGGTAACTTGGATGTTGACCTTTACGAACTGAGCCCTGATAAAAGGGTTATACCGAGTGAAACCAGTTCATGTGCCTTGAAGTTCTTGTCACTGCAGTGCATGTCAGCATACTACTTGGTCCAATAATGAGCCTTCAGTAAATGTTGACAAATTTCACCACTGATCTTGGTCCATTCTGCCAGGTAGTTTTTCACCTTGGGAGATGTTGTCTGGGTGATTTCTACTACAAAATGAGACGAAAAATAACCATATAAGGGCTGAAAGGGGGTTATCTGGAGCCTGTAGTGGCATATGGTATTTTACCATCATTCTGCTAGTGCTAACCATTTAGTCCAGTTCTTTGGTCTCTGGTGAGCCATGCAACTAATATACATTTTAAAGGACATACTGAGCTGCTCTGTCTGACCATCTGATTGTGGGTGGCAAGCATAGTTGAAATGTAACGTAGTACCCACCAATCTCATCAACTTCTTCAAAAAGAGAATGGTGAAGTACATTGTCTCAATCAGAAGCTAACACTTGTAGGACTCCATGCAAATGCTGGATGGTCTCCATGTATACTCTGGCTACTCCTTGCGCATTGAAGGGTGTCTTAAAGTTATAAAGTGATTATACTTTGTGAAACAGTCAACTACTACCCGAATGTTGTCTTTTATTTCTACCTTTGGCAGCTACTCAATGATGTTTAGGAATACATGACTTATAGACTTGAGTTGGCACTGCCAGAGGTTACAAGAGTCCTGGTGATGAAACCTTCTCTGTTTTCCATCTTTGGCAAACCTCACAACATCTGAATCCATTGTGCTACCAGTTGCTTGATTCCTGACCAACAGATGTGTTGTTTAAGGCATTTATAGGTTGCCTTATTTTCTGAATGACCTCTAATAGCTGAGTTCTGACACTGGTAAAGAATTATATCCCTTAATTCAGAGTTAGACTTGATCACAGAATGTCCTTTGTATTGAAGGACTTTATTTTTCAAATCATAAGGGGGTCGACTATCAGGATTAATGAGCAGCTCCTCCAATAGATTGACCAAAGAAGGTTTTCCCTTGTAGTTGTGCAATCTGGTAAGAAAGCAGGGGTGACAGATGTCATGACTGCCTACTACTCAGCATCTGCATCAACCTCCAATTTTTGGACAAGGCATCTGCAACTTTATTTCTGATCCTCTTATTATATTAGACTATATAATCCAGTTCGAGTAGCTTAACCACTCCTTTGTGCGGGATTATAGATGTCACCCGTTGCTTTAGAGTTACTTGATTTGTCTTGCTCATGGACCATGAAGAGATGGACGGCCAAGCCCGAAAGCATGAAAATGATGTCTAAGAATGGATCATTGAAGAGGATGGGTTTGGATCCATTAAAGAAGCCCACGGGAAGAGGAAACAAGCCCAACAATCCGAGAATATCATGGCACTTACATCTCAATCCAAGTGTAAGAGGGAATAAGCAAGAAAAAGGAAAAAATTTTCCTTTAAGGGGGAGAATCAGTCAAGACATAATGAGGGAGATTCCCCATGAGATTTGTTTTTCTAATCCTGCGGGAAATCTTCCCCCTTAAAGGAGGAAATTGGCAAATGGAGGAAATTGATCATAAATCTCAAGCTTGTTTGAGAAAAGAGGAAAACTTCTTAAATGTCCAATCTTAGAGAAAAGGAAAACATATTTAAATTTCTTCCTTTAAATCAGCCATAATTAATTGAGATCTTTCCTAATTAAAAAAGTTTCTATAAAGGGAGATCAGATCTAGCCTATTTTAATTGTAATCCTTTTAATTTTACTAGTTTTCCTATTTTATTCTAAATTTAATTTTTTACGTAATTTCTACCATTGAATTAGGAGATTATTTTCTTTATTATTCAAATATCTTATTCTATAAATAAACATTCAATTTCTAGTTGTAATAATTCAAATTTATATCAATAAAATTAAGGAGTTATTTTCAACTGGTGAGGTGTGTTCAACCTTTTTGTTGAGTAAGGACTAGATCAACTTATCAATGTATTCTTGTGACGTTTTTCTATTCTTTTAATTTTCCAATGACCTTAGTTTTTATCACTTTATTGATAGTGGGTTAAGTAATGATGGTTTTAATAGGATATATGTTTTTGATACTTTATGAGAATTGTGTGAGTTTTAAATTTTTTCGTTAATCATAGGTTCCGCATTATTTGGTATCAGAGTTTAGACTCTATATAAACTTCACTATCATTTACATTTTTTCTTTATTTTTTTACACTATTATTATCATCCATACAAAGAAACAAAAAAAAAAAAAAAAAATTCATGCATACATAGATCCAAGTAAGAATCAACTAGTTGAAGCTTTCTTTGCCTATTACTTTTCCATTGAGCATAAATATCATCATCACCATCATTTGAATGTTTTTCCTCATGTGATTATCGTTTTCTATTTATTCATAAAAAAAAAGAAAAAAAAAGAGAAAAAAAGAGAAAGAAAGAAAGGAAACAAAGGAAAGATCCCAATCATCAATACACTAATCGGGAAAGTACTTACCTTTTGTGCTCAACTATCATTTCTTATAATGGTGCAAGACCAATCTCTTCAAAGTAAATTTTCCTTTTGTTTTTCACCCAAAAAAATCGACATGCATCCTTACTTATGTATCTCATTAGCACAATACTTCATATTCATTATAGAGCATAGCGTACATTGGGATTAGAAATTTAGGGACATCTTTGGTTTTCCTCCTTAGGGATAAAAGCAAATCCATACATAATTCTCCATAATTGTCTTTTTGCATTCTTAGTTTTTTTCCTTCTTTAAACTTTAGTTTCAAAATGCATTTAAGAATCTAATTTGCATTCTAGTGCTTAGCATGACATATATAACACATTTAATTTTTCATCTGTATGTTAAAAAAAAAACTTTTTTAGTATTTGCGCGATATTTTTCTTCCATACAGTTTCTTGTAGTGTATTAAAACAATACTTGAATACTTTAATTTTAGAGGACCCTATTTGGCACTCAACTTGTAGCCAGAAAACTGAGTGCTAGAAGACAAGAGTGGGTGAGCTCATTAGAGGACAAAAGCCAAGTGAGTGAGACATGAGAGACTTGATAAAGGAGTGCTTATTTCTTTTCACTAACTTTTTTCTTGCTAGAAAGGTCTTAAGAATGTCTAGTGAAAATCATACCCCGCCAATATGAGATTATTTATGGAGGCCATGCAAGTAGTGGAAGACACGAGGAGTAGTTTAAGTGAGCGAGACATGGACTCCTAACACTAAACGACCTAGAACTTGAATCTTGATGATGAGACTGACTCTTGTAACGATTATGAAAAGGAAGATCGGGTTAGAAGAAGAGAAGATATGAGCGACAATAATATCAGCTCCATCAAAATGAAGCTTTTAAAAAGGTAGGAATGATGCAGAAGACTACCTGGGGTAGGAAAGGAATGTAGAGCTGATCTCAACTACTACAGTTACAGCAAAAAAAAGATCAAGCTGGCAGCTATAGAATTTACTAATTATGCCCTAATGTGGTGGGATCAAAAAGTCTTCACTAGATGGGTAATGGGGAACGATCAGTTTCTATTTGTAGAGAATGAAGGCCATCATGAGAAAAAGATTCGTATCTTCTTATTACTATAGAGAAATGCACCAGAAATTGTAACGTTTGACGCAGATATCTATTTATGTTGAGGACTATCACAAGGAGATGGAGATGATCATAATTAGAGTTAATATCGAAAAAGATCCCGATGCAACCATTACAAGATCTTGGTAGTTCTTAATAAGGAGATTGTCAACATTGTGGAATTGCAACACTACATGGAGTTAGAGGACATGGTGCACGTGGTCATGAAAATTGAGCGACAACTTATTATTCCTTTAGCATGAGGCGATATTTAAAGATCAGCAGCAGTTCAAAAACTCCATAAAGTCCGGAGGAAATGACGAATTGAGCAACATGAAAAGAGAATGTTAATATATGGAGAACGAACTAAGAAGACCCTCTTTTAAGAAAAAATCAGTAATTCACCTCAAACTTTCTTTATTTAATAGTGTTATTTTGCAGGACATTTTCTCAAAGAAATCATAATTGGCAAAACTCCAACATAAGAAGTTTCCTATTCGAGGACTAATCATCTTTGAAGAGGGAGGAGGGGATGATGTGACCATGGACCATGAAGAGATGGACAGACAAGCTCGAAAGCATGAAAAAGATGTCCAAGAATGGGTTAATGAGGAAGATGAGTTTGGATCCATTAAAAAAACCCAAGGGAAGAGGAAAACAAACCCAACAATCCAATGACATAATGGTACGTACATTTCAATCCAAGTGCAAGAGAGAGATAAGTAAGAAAAAGGAAAAGAATTTCCTCTAAGGGGGAGAATCAGCCAAGACATAATGAGAGAGATTCCCCTTGGGATTTATTTTCCTAATCCTGTGGAAAATCTTCCCCTTAAGGGGGAGAATCGGCCAAGGGAGTAAATTGATCCTAAATCGAAAGCTTATTTGAGAAAAGAAGATAATTCCTTAAATTCCAAATCTTGCAGAAAAAGAAGACATATTTAAATTCCTTCTCCTAAATTAACTATAATTAATTAAGATCTTCCCTAATTAAAAATGTTCCTTCAAAAAAGAGATTATATCTAGGCTATTTTAGTTGTATTCTATTCTAAAATTGATTTCATATATAATTTATACCATTAAATTAGGAAATTATTTTTCTTATTATTCACATGATCCACTTTATAAATAAGGATTCAATTTTTAGTTGTAATAATTCAAGTTTCTATCAATAAAATTAAAAGTTTATTCAACTAGTGAGGTGTCTTCAACTTTCTTGTTGAACAAGGATTGAATCAACTTATCAAAGTATCCTTATGACGTTTTTCCATTCTTTTAATTTCTCAATGACCTTGGTTCCTATCACTTTATTGATAGCGGGTTAAGTAGGTAGGGTTTTTATAGAATTTAATCTTTGACGCTTTATGAGAATTGTATGAGTTTTGAGTTACATCGTTGATTCTGGGTTTTGCATTACTAACTCAGCTCCCACCAAAATGCCGATTACAACCAATATCAAGTGGGACGTATTACAACCTCCTCACTTTCTTGCCCTACACCTTGAGTATACATTCAAGGGCTTGCTATTGCTAGTAGTCAGCTTGTTTGTTATGCTATGTTTATGATATTTTTTTATCACTTGTTATAGCCACTCTATCAATTTACTAACTTCTGGTAATATGCTGATAATAAAGGTTTTGTTTACACATTTCAATTTGTTTATCTAGCTGCTGTTGTAGTCAGCATTCTTTTTATAATATAGTATTTCCCATTGGGTTCTTTTTAGTAACTTTTATACGCACATATATATAAAATATTTTGGTGCATTAAATGAAGGGGTTAGTGTTTATCTTGTCTATATGGGACTAATGGGCATAACTACGTCAGTAACAACTCTCACTTATTAAATGGCTATTTGACAATTTTGACCTGAAAATTTTGAGAAGGATTTGATAAAGTCAGCCATGCAGTATCCCTAGTGACTGTCATGTCTTAGAGTCATAATAAACCTCTCCAACTCTATGATTTCAGGATGAGCTTATGAGCAACGAGCAGCTTTTCTTTGGACTCTCTCAGGTTCTGCGGAAGTTCCCAAAAGAAACTGGTAAGTGAAAGATAAGAAAGTAAATTTCATTTTGTGAATCTTTCTGGAAATCACTCTTTCTCTTGCGCTAGAAAGGATACTTTGTAATTAAGTTTCCAAATCAATCTGTCTATTGCTATTAACCAAAATTTATTTTGTTGATGCTACTTTGTTCAGATAGAGTCCTTTGTCATTTCTGCTTCAAGCCAAAAAAGGTCACAAATGAGGTGTTGGGTTTTGATAATACCAGAAAGAGCCAAATGTTAATATCAAGCATTATTCTACTCAAAACTGCTTTGGATGCCTTGCCTTTTGTGGCAAAGGTGAATTAAATCCTTTCCTACACCTCTGGAATTTTTGCAGAACTGAGATGTTTCTTTAACTTTCAGCTGTTTCTCACCCTAAACCCCAATATTTCTAGGTGCTCAAGGATGCAAAGAGCTTTCTCCTCACAAATATTTACAAATCTGTATCTGAAAATGAGAAATATGCTTCAATTAGAAAGAGGTACGTAGCAGAATTTCTGGAGCTAATAGATCATTTATCTGTATTTTACGGAGGCTCCTAATGCTGAAGCTAGTATAGATGGATCTCCTTTTTCTTACGATACATGAAAAAATTGTTAATGTACATTAACATGTAACAGATTTGTTATTTTTAGAACAAAATAAAAACATATAATAGTTCTAAAGAATTGAACATAAATTTAACCCATATGACAACATAAATTTTATTAATATGATAGAGTCATAAAAATGTTATATCTCTTGATAAAGTACAATAGATACATACAATATGAGATTTTAATTTTTTTTTTAAACAAAAGTACAAAATAATAACCTTAATTTTAGGCCTATATTCAAAAACTTTCCTTCATATCATTCCTCACTCCACAATGGTCTTTTTAGTATATGAAAATGTGATAGAAGAGTGAGATACAACATTTCAATAAGCAGATATTATAAAACCACAATATAGTACATGCAATATATATAGTTTCATACATAATGAGTACTTATATCTTTATACGCTTTCAGAAAACAGTATATGAATCGATAAAAGAATTCAGAAGTCAGAAAAAGGATTCACGATTGCTACATTATATAATAAACTACACTCCATCACTATTATGGAGGACCAATCACATTCGCTTACTATATTAATACATAGACACACACTTAACTCTTAACTGATCCTCAATATATCCGAACATGGAACAAGATATACAAGTACAAGCCCATCATTTTACAAATACACCCAAACAAAGAATGCGACATGTATGGCACACTGAAGTTTAGCATAATGCAAATACCTTCGGAACAGCTTACTTCCGTAACGAGTGATTCACACATATCAAAATTATATTTTGAAACACATGGTAAAATAACACTTATGTCAAATAAAACTTTAAAAGAAATGCTTACTTAGCACATGCAACAATGTATACAAAATACTTTGCAAAAATATATAGGTCAATATCTATTTATACTGAAAATATGTAAAATATTTCAAAACTACATAGATCATAACGTCACAATATCTACTTACAATATTAAAAATACGAAAAATAATTCAAAAATATAATATAACTACTTTACCAAAACATCTACTTACAATACTAAAAATACAAAAACGATTTCGAAAATATAATATTATTGTTTTACCACAACATCTACTTACCTTAGGTTTTAAACAATCGTATTTCAAATCTTTCTTTTTATCTACCACTTGATGTATCCACTCAGATAGTCTACCCTGATAACTTTGTCAATTTTTATTTTTCAATTGGGTAGAATCTCTCAACTCACACAAACTCACAATATTTCTCTTTTCTCACCTCTCGGGTTCTCACCTTTCTTCCTTACTCTTTCTCTGTTCTACTCTTCTTCTCTTCCTCGCTACGCTTCTCCCTCCATGCCCTCATCCCCTACTCATAAGAGAGGGGAGCCAAGAGAGTCGGCCAAGAAGGAGACTTAGAAACCAAGTATGGAAAGATAAAGACTATATTTTCTTATAGAAACCACTCATATGATAATATTGATTTTGATATATTTCACGGCTTAGGGATCAAGTTTACCTTCTTTGATGAGAATGAATAGGAACAGAGACAATGCACCCAAGCATCTGAGAGATTATATGATTTGTGACACTTACTG